TATCCAGACCAGTGGACAGACGGATCAGGACCTGTATCGTGGCCGGCTAGATCACCAGATTCAATTCTATGGATTTATTTTTTTTGGACTGATCTATAACGACGCGTTAACAATACGCTAGTGGAAACTGCACATGATCTTTGACAAAGAATTTTCCACCATAGCCAGGAAATGAAAAATAGCATCCAAATGCTTTGGAGAGTGCAGCAAGGATTAGTTCTTCGAGCTCGAGAGTGTGTTAGGCCGTTTATTAATTTGTTGCCATCCTCTTTTGTTATTATTAGAACCGATAGCAACGCTATTCAGATATTATCCAAAGCAACTTGATTATTATGTTATAAAAATGTTTTATCGTCATGGTACAAATAATGCATTGGAACTTTTAAAAACAAATATCTCGAAAGCTATTAGCTTTAGACATTTCTAACAAGTAAACCTGTTTTGTTGTAGAAATACGAGAAAATAAAATTTTTTGGGCAGTTGTTGTATACAGAGTAGCACAAAAAGTTGTGATAAGGTATTGGATATTTTTGTTGTACTTCTGCTTCATTTTTGGGAAACTTGATACGGGCTAACTTCAGTTTTAGCTTAAAATAAAGCACCTTATTAGTTACACTCATTACTGTTATTGGGGACACTTTAAATCTAGTTCCTATGCTCAATAAAGTATCCTGTGTAGCCATATACCACAAGAATGATAAAATATGGCCATATAAACTCACTGGATAGTGACCACCTGTGTACGGTTTTGCAAATATCTTTTTTCATCGCCTTTTCCAGTCATTTCCACCAAATCAATAAATGCTTTCTTTGACATGCGAAAAAGTTTAAAGAATTGAAAGTTATCATAGCTACAAAGCCATGCTTCCACCATTACAATTTTGGGCATCGTATCTTTTATTTTCGCGACAAACTTGTTTAAAAATAAGAGAGATTTTCTCAAGTGATTTAACACCTGAACAATATCTTCTGAAAAAATAAAACATTTCTCTCATTAATATTATGACAGTTTTCTTTTTTAAACTTTCCACATCACTGTTCTAGACGAAAAAGCACCGATTATTAAGTAATAATAAAAATAATCAGAAATTATATACGCACTTTCCTGAAATAAATAACTTGCAACAAAGCCGCGGTTAAAACCAAGGCGTTCAAGCGATTCGAATAACTGACATCTCAAACCACATTATCACCGTGGTAAAGAACACATAAATTTTCGTTATTCGCTTGAATTTGATTATAAAGACTCATTTTTGGGCCAACATTCGTAATTCGCCTTCGCTGTAAAAAATAAATAGAAATTGTAATAATGTTTTGTTTTCAACCAATTTTCTACAGCCCACGCACCGATATCTTAACAAGTTTATCAAAAACGAAATATAGTGACATATTTCATGGTGCAGCCAGCCTTATAAACAAATGATCTCAAAATGAAGATGTTTTGCAATTTATTACCTACGCGTCCGGTGCTTGGAGTGTAATTAAAGAATCATTGTACATCCACCTTATTTTTAACTATGCATTTGTGCATCCATCAAGGTCGATCTGTTTTATAAATTGAATGAGAATAATGGTGTTCTAGTTTGTTACTGAAAATATTGAGCCGTATTCATAAAAGAGAATCATATCCTCGGAAGCATAATGTAAAAGTATTAGGTCTTGCTTCGGAGAAAAAGGTAGAACTAGAAGCATAGCCTTGTTTTCATATTCATAATGATTACCTTATTCTCGCGAGGATATCCTCCAAGAAGAAGTAAAAGGTTGACTGGTATTTGTATCTTGAGCGACATGACCTGACTTGTTCCAGCTTATAGTTGACGTGGGAGTTCGTTCACTCAGCATCACTGACAGTTGTACTTCAGAGCTTACACAGACCGTTCCGGATACAGTTTTTTTATCAAATTAATAAGCATGTCATCCTCAAGTGATGTGGAAACTATAGAAAATAATGGCAACGACCTGCAGTTCATCGCAGATAAAATTGCTATTGCTCCCATTATTTTGCAAAAGTCACAAGTTCCAAAAATAAAAATGAGAAAGGCGATGCCTTGAAGAAGATGAAAAAATACGAATCAACATTCGGTAAACTATGACAGACTAAAGGCTTATCAAAAAAAATCAACAACATGAAATCAAGATTGAAGAAAAAAAACATTTAAAAAAACTAGTAATAAAGCAATTAAATTGTTAGGTTGGGAAAGAAAGTTGCTGAAAGCTATGGAAGGTGACTGTAATCCTACAATTGGGAAAATTAGAGGTGCCATTCAGGATGGTAGTGTTCAAGAAGAAGGAAGTGAACTATATACTGAGCGCAGTGAGCAAACAGCGCCAGCAATTCAGAAGACATTGCCACCAAGAAGAAAATTAGCAACAGAGAAATACGAAACTGAGGAAACCAAAAGGTTAACTACAAAAGAATTGCAACGTCTAGTGCTATTACAGCAGTACCAAACAAGTATTTTACAACAAGAGTATTATAAGATGAAATTAGAAAAGATGCAGCATAAGAAGCAACCTGTAACTTATGATGTTCACGAAAATAAATCTTATTATAACTTATAAATACACTTTAATCAGTAAAACCATTTATTATAATAGTCAAGTTTCTTCTTATTTGTTAACCTAGTTGGCGGAGAGGAAGTTCGTCATTCTCATGATTTCCTTCATCTTCATCTGCGTCTTGTTCTTTTGTTCAACTAACTCAAAGTCAGGATCGCCAAAGCTCTTCGCAACATTATGGAGTACAATACAAGCAATAATTATTTTCGGCATATTTTCCAACTTTACGTGGCAAACATACTGTAGGATAGGAAATCGGCGTTTCAGTTGGCCGAAACAGCGTTCAATTAATAACTCTTTCTTGTTTTAAAAGCTTATTATAATTTATTTCTGCACCTGGAGTAGCATTTCTGAAGGAAGTCATAAGGCATGGCTCAATACCATAACCGTAATCGCCAAGTAGTACAACATTTGCTTTATTTATCAGTTGTGATCTAGTCTGTGAATTTCTCCATATTCTGGAATCATGCACTGATCCAGGCCAACTGACATCAACACTTGTGAACATCTCTCTGGCATCACAAGTGGCTTGCACATTTGAAGTAGGTTTCCCATTTACGGTTGATATACTCATCTCCACGGCGATTCAGTTTCAGGATTCCTATATGTGTACAATCGATTACACCAATTGCTGTCGGAAATTTATACATGGTTTGCCATATCCGCTTGGCCTCCATCAGTTCATGGTTGGTAGTTGGAAACTTGATCCGTTCGTTCGACTGTGCAACTATGCTGTTCACAACTCTATCCACAGTCCGAGATACCGATGCTTGACTAACACCAAGTTCCTGACCAATACCTTGTTGATATCCAGGGTCACCGAGATAGCGTAGACATATCTTCATTTTATTTATACATGAAAGTGCTCCTCCACGAGTATCCTCATTCTCAACTAAAAATCTGTCCGCAAGCCATTGTACATTTGCTTCGTCGAACCGATATCATTTTTTGAAGTCACGACCAAGTGAAGGTAAACGAGGTTTGTACGTTTTAACACCCCTAACATCCACAATTTCCGCCATCATCGTTTGACCACCTTTCGTTACGAAGTTGAGTCTACTACTAACCACACTCATAATTTTTGAAGGATATGCTTCCTAAGCCAAGTATAAGGTGAAGATTATGAATATCCTTTTACTTATGTCACTGCTTTGAAGGATATGCTTATACTCAAAAATCAAAAGCATTTACTTCAAATTATTATAAATACCATCTGGAGAATTTCCTTCAAAATGTGCAAGTACAAGGATATCCTTTGTTTAATTAATACGGCTCATTGTGTACATGCCACTAAAAATAACAAGGCACCATCTGATAATAAGGTACGATAGGTTTATTGTCACCAATGTTGATGTCTGCTAAGGTCTCTAGGGCTTACGCCTAATTGTAGGACGCCTTTATGGCCTCCTTGATTTTCATAGACTTTTATCTCTTTCAGAAAGGCTGAGATATTTGTAGATTTCTACTGTTCCGAACAAGCGTCAGAGCTCACCTATTGTGAGGCTGTTTTATTTTTTAACTGAACGAACTTTCTGTCTGATATAACATATAATATAAATCAAACGCATGAACATATTGATACAAATGGATATTTGTAACATCAAAATAGAGCGCTGACAAGGAACAGTAGAAAACTATGAAAATCAAGGAGGTCATAAAGACCTAACTACAATAATTGTAGGAAGGACTAACGATACGACCCAGTGTCAAATGATCTTCAATTTGTGTGAAATAATTGCCGTTGAATGCATCATATTCCATCTGCTGTTCACGAACTTTGTTCTTTTTATGGTTCGAAGATATTTTAATCTCCGAATCAAGGCTTAGGTTTGGGATACAATTTTTCACACCAATGCGAATGCCCTCGATTTGTCTATCTGGAAATTCGTTATACACTAATTAAACATTCATCAATTCAACCCATGTCACTCCAAAACCCAAACAACTTTGTTTTATGCATACCAAATGAGATTCATGCGGTGTGATGCAGAGACTTGACAAAATGTAAGAGTGGCGACACTTCTATTATAATGTTATAAAAGTAGAGATGGTATTCAGTCTCTGATTAACTGCTTTTGATGCAAAATATGGTTCGGCTCGATAAAAATATCCAAGGGTACCTAATACACAATCGACATAGTGAAGTATATGCCATAAGTTTTTATTTGCCAACTCAGACAATCAAACCCAATATTTTTGATGGAGATTTTGCACGCTTTGGGATATAGGTTTTTATTTATACGATTGACAATAAAACCAAATATCTTCATTAACAGGGAAAGCAAGTAAAATTAATTGGAGGTGTACTTACCTGTAACTAGCAAAAGACTAAAATACGCCGAAATATTTTGAATACTCGTTTTCTTATTTATGTTTAAATTTAATATTTAAAAACTGCCTAACCTCTGTGCGTTTTTCAAGATTTTAAATCCTTTATTGCAATGGTGAGACAAGGGGTGGAGGTATGCCCCTCCTTACTGAGGATCCGATTAGCCCTTATAAATTCTATATTCAGCATGGTTTTCTGTACAATTCTGTTGATTTGCATAATTTCTGGCTTTCTATTTCTACAATAAAAATGGGGTGCCAGTTTGAAAAACTCAACCTGCCTTTGAAATGACGTTCAAGGTGAATGTCAACGTCAAATCCACTCGATGTGCCATTTATTTCCTGAAACTGTAACTGTATTCGAAGTTTTTTCAAGCACCCATAGTTGCCGAGATAGTTGGGTGTGTCCATATCTTTGGGATACCCTGTATATGTACATATCAAGAAAGATTATAGACAGTTATCACATTGACGGTTTAGATCTTGGAAATTTTTTAAAAAAAATTTAGAGGTAAAGAATTAAGAGATGGTAGGTGAGGATGTATCACAATTTTTGATGTTAGTATATTAATATACTTCCAATCCAGGTAATTCTATACACCTATTAGACAAACTCCTAAATTTCCCCGTATATTTGCCTTAAAACAAACATATTTTCAGCCAACCTATCTGTCGCACTTGCCATGCGCCACGGTGTTGTAAATATTGCATCTTTGGTAGAGAATCCGAGGTACATAAAACCAGGTAGCAATTTAATGAGGTTGATTTCGCGAGGTACTATTATAGAGGGTGGTAAAAAAAACTGGAAAACGATCAATTTTAATTCCAGTGCTGAAAATAGAGACAAATTTCATGTTCAGAGGTTTAATTATCGGCGGTCAATCGCACCTTTTTTTAGCATTGGGATCAAAATTGAAGGTGTACATGTGAAAAAATCAATTTGACCTTGTATAGACCTTCAAGGTCTTAGTCAAGGTCAAAATGAAGATCACTATCAGATGTGCCGTTGGGTGTCCTGCAATTTTTGGAATAAAACTTCCTAAATATTCTTCTTTTTCCAACTATCCACTGCTTCACAACATTCTATGTCATTTACACCATTGAAAGAGAAATCTATTTGGTTTTCTATTTCTGCAATAAAAATGGGGGTGCCTGTTTGAAAAAACAGTATTACACCTGAGCTCACAAGAAATGAGGCTTCATGAAAAACCCAAATAATGCATTAATGGTTCTGATCAAAACCTACTTCTTTTTGATGCCATATCACTACATGGAACTAGAAGTTGTTTCGAACGCGAAGGATCAATCCATTTAAGGTCATTTGTATTTTATTTGGTTCCAGAAATCTCCGAAACGCCATCGCGAGAAGCGTCGGGTACGCTTCGCATTGCCGCCCCCGGGAGGCGGCAGTCCAGTTGCCCCACTCTCCCCCCTGACATCGCGTCGCGGCGCTGACCGCACATCGGGCGTCGCTGTCAGCAGCAGCGTCGGCGTCTGTGGCGGCGGCAGTTTCTCGTTTGATCCACGTCGAGAAACGTCGCGCTCGAGGTGGTTGCCGGAGGAGATCGCACGTGAGGCCACAACTGCTGCCACGGACCGACAGCCGGTGTACGTCGCTGTCTCGCCGGCGGTCAGGGATAGAGTTTATCCTACTGGAAGGTTGGTACCCTCATTTATTTTCTCGTTTTAGAATAATCTTTATTGTCCATCAGTCTCCCAAGTACAGGACAATAAAACCAAATTAAATGAGAAATAAAATAAAACAATTACCTGATGTGAAATTCAGGGTGTCCCAATATATTAAAACTGCATTCCTCCGGCAGCTAGGCAAGCTTGACATCTTAAAAATGATAGGGTTAATAAAACCCATTTATGCCTAAAGAGTTGCAAAAAAGTTTTTTTTATTATTTTTTAAAAAACCTTATTAAAAGACGACACTTTGGAGGTATTTTTAATTTATTCTAAAAAAAATACATAAACAGTTAGTTTTTTAGGATGTACTATACATAGTACATTAGGAATAAAGGTAGCTATAAGAATAATAATGAAAAATATTGAAAATAGTACAAATATTTTGAAACACATCAATATTGCAAATTTTAAAGAGTATGATATTGAACAAAACATTTCACGTGATGGCCGACATCACATTTTCTACATCTTCTCATGACAGTGTGCACACCTTGTTTGTTTGCCTTGTGGAATGACTAAATGATCTAAGCGATCATACTTTATGTCACCAAAATTTCTTGATTTACCTTGCTGGTACGTATAAGTCTTCTTATTTTGTGTCAAGATAGCTGTAGCTACACTTCTTCTAAATTTTAATTGATCCACGTTATTTCCTCTCTTTTTATAAATATGCCAGGCGTTTGTCAGGGCTATATCTACACATTGAGAGATCAACGAGAAATACCATTTTTTGCCTCGGATTTGTACTCTGTATTGAGCTATATTCTGGTCTGACCTATCCACCCCGCCCATACATTTATTATACAGCTTGACAACTTGGGGCTGATCTACATACACAAACTTTTTTATTTTTGGGAATACCGCTTTACTGAATTTACTGGTTCAATTCAATCGCTGTAGACCCAAAAGTTACAATATTGTTGTCATTCCATTTTACAAAAATTAAGTTTTTATCTTTTACTTTGGTATAATCGAACACTTCACGGTGTTCCTTTTTCATAAGTTTTGAATTTTCCAAAGAAGACATGGGTATACGATTTTCACGAATTGTTCCTGTACCACATATGCCTTTTTCAGTCAAGTTTTCAAACAAAGCTGGCGAAGAAAAAAAATTATCAAATACGAAATGACACCTAAGATTTGCCCATGTGCTTTTTAGCCTATCAGCATAGCTCAATACAACTGATGCGCCGACACCTCAAGATTTGTAAGCCGCGTTCACATACGTGGAAGCACCCTGATAAGGTTCAAACCATAAGATGTAACCAAGAGTAGTAGCGCCAAACCAAAATTTGAACCCATAACGTATTGGTTTCCCGTGGATATACTGTTTACAACCATGTCGCCCGTTGTATAGAACCATTGCCTCATCAATACTATGATGCTCTTCTGGTACTGCGTATTCCAAAAAATTTTTATTTAGGTGATTTGCATCCAGAGCTTCATTGTTTAGGAAGTGAATGTGAATTATAAATTTATCGCGAGAAATAGCTTCAGAAACAAGTGAGTTGTGTGAATCACTGGATTTTTCCCAGTACATCCTTCTGGGAGATACACTACTGTAGCCACTCAACAATAACATGCCTAGAAAACATTTGATTTCAGATTTGGTAACCATAATATTCCTGTTTTTCTGTTGAGCATACCGATTTGTCGCCTCAACTATTATGTTCAAAATTTCATCAATTTGCTAAACAATATCTCGGTTGGGGACTGTTCTTGTTCATTTTGATTTTCGTTGTTTATTGGAAACGCATACTCATTTGTTGGCAAATTTTCTTTTACGGAATTATACTAAGTGACGTATAAATCCGAACACCCAGTTTTTAATGGTTTTATTTTAATAAAATTTTGTATAAGTACTTAATGAAGCATAATAAGTAAATGATAAAAAATTCAAAATGATTGCACTGCTTTAAAGCCCTTTGACCTTTAATAATGTGTGGATGCACCCTGATGTGCTACGCATTCTCCAACGCGCCTAGGCATGCTTCTGATCAGGTGGTCAATGGCCTCCTGTGGTATCTCATTCCAGGCAACCACTAACTCCTCTTGAAGTGCTTCTAGAGTCTGAGGAGGACGTTGCAAATTGAGCAATCTCCTACCCATCATATCCCACACGTGCTCAATTGGGGATAAGTCGGGAGATCTTGGTGGCCATGGTAACAATGTGACATCATTATGTTGAAAGAAGTCTATTGTAACTCTTGCAACATGTGGTCGGGCATTATCTTGTTGGAAAGTTGGATCTGCCAGGGTGTCAAGATAGGGTAAAAGATGGGGTTCTAGAACTTCGTGGATATAACGCTGCGCGTTCACGTTACCTCTAATGAAGATTAAAGGTGACCTGGAACCATAAGCTATAGCACCCCAAACCATAACTCCAACAGTGTGATGAACATGTCTTTCAACAAAAAACTGTGGATTCTTCCTTTCACCACGTCGCCTTCTAACCCTGGCACGACCATCGTGCATGCCTAAACAAAATCGAGACTCGTCACTAAAGACAATACTGTTCCATTCCTGATCCCAGAGTGACCGTTGTCTGCACCACTCAAGGCGATTACGTCGGTGTTCTCGAGACCCAGTGTGGCCGGTATGAAAACAAGCCAAAACTTCTCATTCGTCGGTAAACACTTCGCATGCCAATAGGTCTTCCGTGTTCTGCAAACCATTCATTTGCAATGGATCTGGTAGTGGAGAAACGGTCCCTTAAGGCCAATAATCTTAGGTGGCGATCTTCACGGTCTGTTGTTCTACGGCGGCGTCCAGTGCCCCTTGCTCTTTGCGTACGGCCTTCTCGAAGCCATGCCTGACAACACCTAACCACAGTGTCTACACTTCTTTGCACTCTAACTGCAATTGCCCGAAAAGAAAGTCCAGCTTCCCGAAGTCCCACTATACGGCCCCTATCAAACTCACTAAGTTGACGAAATCGTACAGGTCTCCGTACTCTAGGCATCGTAACCGATCGTAAAGGATGCCAAGAACCAAAATCCGCCAACGTTGATTCTTTACTGCGGCTGAAATATTCATTTTTAGAGCGTTAGTGTATTAAAAAAAAACAGTATAAAAACCGGAATGTCCAACTGATAAGGCTGAAAATTTTTTCATTTGTTATTTACAGTAAGATAAATACATTCTCCAACTTTTATTAAATTAAAACCATTTAAACTGGGTGTTCGGATTTATATGTCACTTAGTATATATGTTTTCTTCTTTTTCACTTCCTTCCGATTATTACCCCTAATTTCACTGAGTGCTATTTCGTCTTCTGAACTCCACATATCCTCGTTTTGATTCTTATTTACTTCGACCTCAGCTTGCATTAAGCTTCCTGGCAAGTTGTTGATATCCAGTCTTTCTTCGTCTCCAGAATCCTCGTCGGTTATGTTACCGCATGCATTAGTGGAAGGAAGTGACAGACTCAGCTTCAATGTCGTCATCCTCTATCATTGCTAGCGCCTCATGTAAAGAAAAATCCCTGAAACAAATGTTCCTTCTCAAAATAATTACTCATTCAAAAATAATTTACCTAAAACCATTTTATTTTTCTTTTCACTATGAACATATTCGTAGACCCCTTTTCTCCTGATGTACTAAATATAGTACCTCGAACTTTATCATAACCTCACAAACAAAGCATAAATGAAACACATCATAAAATCATAAAATCTAGAAGCCGCAACTAAGGAAATAATATTTTCATAAAAATAAACTAGTTTTTTTTTATTTTATCTCATAAAAAACCTACTTACTTTGCAAAGCGCACGCTATATTCATTCATCTTCTATTTTCCAATATACAAAAACTGATTTCACATACAAAATATTGCACAATACGCAAAATTACTCCGTACTGTACGAGATCCACCCGGAAACTGTCGCCGCGAGCTATTCAATTTTACCAAATCGTACAGATATCTACAGGAACAAACAAGTTTAGGCGGTACTATTCATAGTACATTAGGCATAAATGGGTTGACAAAGTCAGCTGCTTCCGTTATTCTATCCCGTAGCTTAACTAAATTTTTTATTGGCTTTGTCCGCTCACCAGTAAAAAAAATCTAGTGGATTTAATTCAGGAGAAAAAGCAGTAAACAATAAATTTTGTAAATGTTTTGGAAAAAGTTTAATTGAATTTCGCCATTCAAGGACTCTGGCAGCTCCAAGGTTACAGTGATTCTTGGTCCACATGTTTACTTTAAGGTCTATCTATCTGTAATCATCAAATGTGGATTTGTTACATGCCCCTCGTGTAAGTTGTGAAGATATCTTTTTTCGATTCATCAGTCCATAAAATTTTCTCTAAAAATTGCGGATCTTCCTGGTGTCTGTATAACATTGACAAAACTCAACTCTTGGAACGTGGTACGGATATCTTTCGTAAGATTCGGTGGGCTGTGCTTTTGGGTACTCCCGTGCTTGCTTCTATTTAACGTACTGATGTACTCGAGTCGTCTTCGACTTCTTGTAGTACGACATCCTCCTGAGGAAAGAAAATTCGGTGAGACTATACTTTAGGGAATATCGCAAATACTTCATTTCTTAGTTTAAAATGAAAGATTAGGTTGTAACTTTTACGAAAATATTATTTTTTCTTTGAACCCTCTGCTTGCTATTTTATAGAACTTCAAAGTTGCATTTTTGGTGGTAATAGTCTAGAATAGAATACTGTTTTATACGTTGTCGTTTTTTGCTTTTTGCGCAAAGGGATGCTCCAAATTATAAGAATATAACATATACATTTGTATAGTACCAAGGAAAACAGATGTGAAACTGTAAAAATTGTTTTTTGCAAAAAAAGGTTCAAAACCAGCCGTCTTATTACACATTAGGTTATTAGCAAAAATAACAGTTCAAAATACATATCTAAATGATGGTATTTACTTGGTAAACTGTGTAAAGGTGTTGTTT